ACTGGATGTACTCAGTGCTATTGAAGCATCGCTGTTTCCCAGCCCCCTCAGCAGTAAAGCTGAGACGTGCATATGTGCGTATTTACCCATGCACATACACTACAATGTAACTATTCCTGTATAGTTTTAAACTAAATGACCCCGCAATGGTATCTCAGACTCTAATCTAGTACCCTGTGGTTAATGAGTAATCCCAGATTAAGCTTCCTCCTATTACCTAGCATACTCATAAATTGTTTCTTCTATAAGCAAGCATTTCATTAAATTTCTAGTATTAGTCACACTGAAATAGGAAAGTAAAATACATTTCAAAACAGAATTCATGGGGCTGGGGATTTAGCTCAGTGGCAAAAGCGCCTGCCTGGCAAGCGCAAGGTCGTGAGTTCGGTTCCCGGTACCGGAAAAAAAAAAAAAAAAAAACAGAATTCATGACAGATCATCCCCACTACCTGGAACACTCATGAGCGCAAGATCAAGAAAACTATGCTAACACTTCTTACTGAACTCTTAACCTTTTTAAAGCAGGTTCTATTACTGCAACAAATTTTTCTCTGAAAAACCACATTCTCTAATGAAAAAGAGGAAAAATCATGGCTCAGTATAGTCCATTAATATACAATTTTAAAGTTAAAAAGGCAGAGAAATTATATGATCTGCCCAGCATCATACTGTCAACAAAGAGCAAAACTGCAACCTGACTGCATTTAGACCCAGTTATTCTGACGTCAACTGCCACAACAGCTACTACATTCCACTACAGATTATTTTTTTAAGGCAATTCATAAAAAAGAAAAAAAAAAAAAACAGGCGTGGTGGCACATGCCTGTAATCCTGGCACTGGGGAGGCAGACACAGAAGGATCGTTGCGAGTTCGAGACCAGCCTGAGCTATAAAGTGAGCTCAAGGCCAGACGGAACTGCATAGTGAGACCCTGTCTCAAAAAGACAAAAAAAAAAAAAAAATGAAGTGAGCTTTCATAAATTCAATTCCCTATTACAGCTTTTCTCAGTTGTTATCAGAGATAAAATATATTTAAAGTACAGGCCTTCTCTGAAATTAACAGAACAAAATGTTTGTCTTAGTTACTTTTCTCCTTGCTGAGACAAAATACTCAATACCCAAAGTTAAAACAGGAAAAGTAGCTGTGGCATACGCCTGTAATTCCAGCATTCAGGAGACTGAGGCAGGAGGATTGCTGCAAGTTCCAGACCAGCCTGGGCTACAAAGTGAGTTCAAGGCCAGGCTCAACTGCATAGTGAGACCCTGTCTCAAAAAGACAAGAAAAGAAGAGTAAAGGAGGAAAGGTTTATTCGGCTTATAGTTCACAGAGGTTTCAGCCTGTAGTGGGCTAGCTCCAAGGCAAGATAGCAGGCCAGAGAGTCATCATAGGATAAACAGTCTACAACAAAGCAGGCAAAGCACAAGGTGGCAGGCAGCAGACATCAAGCAGCAAGTAAGTGACAAGGGGCAAGGACAAGCAACCACCTTTTTCTGTCCCTTGTATCTTATCCAGGCTATCCACCCTTACGGCAGGTAGCACTCACATCCAGGAAGGGGCAGCCTTAATTCTACCCACAACTGTGTCAAACTAATCAGTGAACTAACTTAGTAATCATACACCTTGCTCCCAGTACCTAATCCCAGCATCACACACTCTAGGTCCAGCACCTCTGAAAAGCCCTACCTATGACTGCATGAGGCTCTGGCAGGACACCTAGACACAAGCCATAACATTCCTTCCCTTGGCCAGGCATGATGGCACACACCTGTAATCCCAGCACTCGGGAAGCTGAGGCAAGAGGATCACTGAGAGTTCCAGGCCAGCCTGGGCTACAAAACCATCTCAAAAAAAAAAAAAATTCGTTCCCTGGTCCCTAAAGACTCATTCATATCTCTTTATACCAAAGACATTTAGTCCATCTCCAGGAGTTGCCGAAGTCCTAATAGTTTCAGCAATGCTGAAAAGTGCAAGTTCAAAGTCTCCTCTGAGGGCTGGGGATATAGCTCAGCGGTACAAGTGCCTGTCTGGGAAGCGCAAGGTCCTGAGTTCAAATTCCGGTACCAAAAAATAAGTCTCCTCTGAGATTTAAGGCACTCTTAGTTGTAAACCCCTGTACAAATGAAAAGAAGGTTAAGCACTTCCAACACAATGGCAGAATACAAATATTTCTACTCCAAAAGTTACAAACAGTGGAGTAGAAAGGAATGGGAAAAAGCAAAACCAAAATCCAGCAGGGCAAAGATTAAATCCTATAGTTCCATGTCCAGTATCCCCAGCAATCTGAGGCAAATTGTGAACTCCAAAGGGCCTGAATGACTCTGCCCCTACAACACTGCCAGTATTTGTAGCTCCCAAAACTTCTTTTTTGGGCCTGCTCTGCTCCCTCCTTCTAGCTTTCCTCAGACAATCTACATTCCTGGCTTCTCCAAAGTTCTGGGGTCTCCATTGCGTCTTCAGCAGCTTCACACACTGCCCTCTCAGGGGCACACTGCCTGGCCTCCCAGGTCTTCTTCTGAAATTGGAGTGGAAGCCTTCCTGACCCCACAGCTCTTGCACTCTACATGCACCTAAAACCAGCACCATGTGGATAATGCCTAGGTCTGCCATCAGCTGGAGCAGTAGCCAGACTTTCTTCTCTCTTGGTTATAGGGATCAAGTGCCTGGATTGCTGAGCACTCTGACTCCAATTCCAAGGAAGAAACTGTCTAGGCCACCTCCATTCTGGACCATAGTGCTCTGGGACTCTCCTCTCAAAACAAAGTCTTTCACTTTTGCAATTTTGAGGCTGGAAAGGGTGCAGTCCTGCTGGTTTTGTGATGTCCTCGGGCTGTCTTTTCTACTGTCTTCTTCAGAAATACTTGGCATTATCTTGCTAGTCTTTTCATCAACCAATTTCTCCTCTGTTTCATCTTTGCAGGCCACAACTTTACTGGAGCTTTCTTTCGGGACAAACTCACAATGTTTTAAATCATTCTCTGGGCTTTTTGCCCTTGATTCTCAATATAAATCTAGCTAAAACTCTCAACAGTAGCCATGCAACAGCCTCAATATTAGACTGCCTCGAAATTTCTTCTTCCAGATTAATTAGCTTGCTGCCCTTAATCTCAGTCTCAGGCAAAGCCTTTGGGTATGAGCAAAATGCAAACAAACCTTCTGCCAAAGCATAACACATATCATCTGGAGTGCAACAACCAATGCAGTCCTTCCCAACACAAACCTCCTGAGCTTGCTCTTTGCTGGCAGCATTTCTACTAGCATTCTGGTCTTCTGACTGCTGACCAGAGTTTCCTTTCAAGCACAGTTTAAGGCATTCCACAACTGCTTCTTCAGACAGTATCTCCAGACCTTTCCAAACTCTTCCCACAAGCCAGTTCCAAAGGCTCCACATGGTCAGGTACAATCATAGCAATGATCCCATTCCTGGTACCAAATTCTGTCTTAATTACTTTTCTCTTGTAGCTAAGACAAAATGTCTACCATTCCAAGTTAACAGAGGAAAGGTTTATTGAGCTCATAGTAGAGTTTTTAGTTCATTGTCAGCTGGCTCCAGGGTAGGGTGGCATCACAGAAGAGAAACAGTTCATGATGTGCAGAAGGCAGCAAAGTAGTGAAGAAGTAAAATAGCAAGCAGCAAGTGACAAGCAATAACACTGCCCTCTTTCTGTCTCTTATACATTATCCAGGCTACCCACCGCACTCACACCCAGGGTGGGGCACACTTAATCTCACCCAGAACTACGCCAAGCCAATCAGTGGAATAATTTAGTCAACACACACCTTTGATCCCAGCATCACACACTCTAGATCCAGCCACCTCTGAAAAGCCCCACCTATTCCCTCATGAGGCTTTGAGGGAACATCTAGACACAAGCCAGAACAGTGTCATATTTGGAAATGAAACTACAATTAAAATACACAAAGTATTCAGAAAATAGATATAAACGAAGCATACATGCTGTGCAGTATTCTGCTCATTACTACTGTGCAAGCTGAAAAAACAAACAAAATTCAAATTCCAGTCCACGCCCCAAACTCAATCTGATGAAGCTAAATGTAGAAAAATGAAAACATCTAATACAATGGAAAACAATACCACTGTATTTACAAGTGATGTATGTAAATATATAGGCCCTCTTTCCTCTCCTGCCAAAAAAACTAAGAACTTTATTACTTTGCAATAGACTTAAGAGTTACCCTCTACCCTCCCCTCTCAGCCTCCCAGAGTGGTGGGATTACAGATGTGCACCTCACTCGGCAAATTTAAAAGTCTTAAAGATTGCTTTCTAACAGAAATAATTAGAATATTTACTGAAAAAGGATTGTAGTAGTTGAAGAGTAATTGTTACTTTGGTAGATAATTGCTGCAATGCTGAAACTTCAAAAGTATGATCTAACACACTCTGAGCAGGTCTAGAGGAGCAACAAAGTATAATAAAACACCTGTCAGGCAATATTCACAGACTTCAGATCCTAAGTCTCATTAGCTATCTGATGCTGGGCAAATCATTTGACTTTTCTATCTAAATGTCATCATATTTTAAATGGGGGATAACTTGGCTCAGTGGCACTGCATTTGCCTGGCAAGTGCAAGGTCCTAAGTTCAATTTCCAGTACCAAATAAATAAATAAATATTAAATAAATGGGGTATTACCTACCCTACCTCACAAAACTATCACAGGCTCAAACGAGAATGTGTATAGCAAAATTACTTTATAAATTACAAACTACCACCCAAATACAAGTTTTATTTCAAAAAATTGGCACATAGATACATAAACTAGTGTAACACACAAATACACATAAATACAGAGTGTTGTTATCTAGTACACACGAAGCAACAATTGAATCCATTATACTTATCTGGACCTCATTTTTCTTAAATTCTAGAGTAAAAAGTTATCTAAAATATTTTCATACACAGTATATGTACTTATTTCTTAACATTTAAAGATGAAATTCTATGAAGCAATGGCTAGAAATTTAACTGAAAATACTAACCTTAACGAAATTATCAGGGAACATTCCTCTTCTCCCATTTAGTTCTCCTTCTAGCCATCCTTCTTCCTGTAGTTTTTTCACATTCCTGATGATTTCCCCAACTCGAATAGTTAATTCATCATCGTGCACAGCATCATAGTCATACTCCACAATATAGTCAACTAAAAAAAGAGGAAAAAAGTATCTAAAACCTAATTCACAAAAATACTACAAATAAATGAGACCTGCATGTGTAAGCAACGTATTGTCTCACTAGTGTAAGAACCTAAAAGAGTGAATAAAATTAGGCGGTATGATAGACATTGTGAAATGGAAAGGAAACTGCTCAAAAGTAAAGAGCAACTGGGATGAGGGAAAAGAGAAAAGAAAGAAGGGGAAAATTATGTATATAGTGTATATACAGAATAGCTAACATACTCATACTACTGACTTCTATTGTGCTACTGAAAGGAACCATTAATGATTAATTATTTGATCAATCTTGCATGTCTATTAGTTCTCCTGATTAACCACTTTGAAGGTATCAATATATAATACAACAACCATTGTTAATTTCCTGTCACCTTGTCTGTAATTCAGTATTGCTTGTATTGTTCTTGTGCTATTTTGTAAATCGATGTCTGTTAATGTTTTCATTCTTTTATTCTTAAAATTTAAAAAAATACTATAAATGGTCTTAATAAACTTAAAACTATAGGACCTGGTTAGCAACAACAGTTAATACTCTCAAAACATCATCAGGCTTGTCTTAATTTTAAATATTTGGCTACATTAGCAACATTCATTATCTTAGTATATAGCGCAGTACTGCTTTTAAGTGGGAGCCTTAAAAACACAAAGCCTTAAAAAAAAAAACACAAAGCATAATTCATCCCTCTACATATTCTCACAGTCAAAGGTACACCCTTTGTGGCACACAGACTCTGAAGTGGTACCCATGACCCTGCCCACCTCCATATTCATATCCTTGTGTAATTTCTTCTCTTGGGAGTATGGATGTGACCTGTGACTAACTTATAAACAACAAAGATCATGTACTCTGTGTGATTAGTAGGACTTTAATGTTCATCTTGCTACATGGCCTTCTCTCTTGCTGGCTTTGAAGATACCTGCTGCCCCATCTGTAAGCCACCTATGAAAGCAAAGTCCAACAACAAGCAAGAGAGAGAGATCCCTGCTGAGGGCCTCAGGCCAACAACCAGAAATGAACTAAAGGATGTCAATAACAACAGGAGACTTCCCCACTAAAACCCCCCATGAGAACCCACCCCTTGTCGACACCTTCACTGCAATCCTATGAAGGACCCAGCTAACTGTGCCTAGACCAACACTTCTCCAATACTAAGTACAATCAAATCATCCAAGAAATCCTGTTTAAATGCAGAGTTTGAGTAAATGTACAGTACATAATGCTGTGGGTCCAAAAAATAAAGGTCCAGAGATAGTCCATTTACAGAAATTCCAATCACATACTACTGCATACTCCAGGGAATGATTTTCAATCAGCCATGGGATAAATGGATTCTGACTATCCTTTTGGTGTTTCTGTTTGGTTGGTTGGTTTTGTTTTCTGGGGGCGGGGGAGGGGTTGGCTTTTTGAGACAGGGTCTTGCTATGCAGCTCAGGCTAGCGCTGAGTTAACTTTGTAGCCTAGTCTGGCCTCGAACTCACAATCGTCCTGCCTCAGCCTCCTGAGTGCTGGGATTACAGGCGTGCACTACCACGCCCAACCCTTTTGGTGTTTTATTTGACCTCAGAAACAAAATCAACCTGAGATCTGTAATACCTTTAGATTTGTTATACAAAGTAGTGTTTTTAAGTAAATCTTATTTCTATTTGTAGCTAAATATAGCTCAATATGCTTTTTAGAAAAAAAAATCCCAATTTTCTGAAAATGGACACATAGCTGATGAAGCCAGGGAAAAGCCTGGAGAATTTAAAGGAGCTATAATTGAAGTACCAAACTGCTCTGCAGAATCCCAGAGGACTAGACAGATGTTCAGAATAGTTGGGCTCATGTAAAACACAGGGCTTAAAAGAGGAGAATTAGTCTAAGGAAGAGCTGACAGCGATTATCAACCACAATGACCCCATAAAACAAAGTGCTAAGTAGTTAGGCATTTTTATTCACAAGGTTAAAACAAAAACAAAAACAAAAACAAAAACCTGACATACTAATCAAACAACTGAACCAGTTAAAAGGAAACTAGTACAGCTAGAGTAGTATAAATGAATGCTGGTTTCTCATAAAAATAACTACTGAGAAATTCATAGGTCACTCATAGCAATGGCCAGCTTCTACTGTACTAGCTTCAAATTAAAACTCAAGTCCTACCCACATAATCAGAGTTCTCTGTAAGAACTTGTTTGCTGTTTTTCTTCTACAGAGGCCTTCACAGGATTCTAAGTCCCCAGAACCACCCCCCGACCCCGCTTTTTTCCTTTTAATTCTAAAACAAAGTCTCACTAAATTGCCCAGGGTAGGCTTAAAATTGCTATGCACCTGTCTCACACTTCCAGAGTGTTTGAACTGCAGGCATGTGACACCATGCTAAGTAAGCTTTTTATTTATATATTATTTATTCATAAATATGAGCAAGCAATAGTTTATCTGAAAGACCATGAAAACCTGAAATACTACTTCCAGAATGGGGAGTCAAGAGCTCAAGCAAAGGAACAGCAAGGAATGATAGCAGAGATGGGAGACCAGTGCCCATCCAGGGTTATATCCATAGAGATTAATTAAATAAGTAAATATATTGAGGATGATAGAAACCCAATTTCTCTAAGTTAGAGATGAGAAACATGAACTAGTACAAACATATAAACACAAACTTAAAAGGAGAAAAATTCCCTCTGTGATACTGAATTGTAATAAGTATCAGCATGAATTGTTTTAACAATAAAGAAGTAAACATAGATTTAAATGTCTGTATATATATATTTGTTTACACATACATACACACACATTCATATAACACACACACACACACACACATCCATAGTTTGGTCCACTGAATTGACCTGAATCAGCGACATGCCAAGGGCAATGACCAAACCTAATGACAAAATCTTATTAATGCCACTTTTTACAAAAAGGAATCAGGATTCTCTGGGGAAATGGCCAGTCATGTGGACAGGCAGGAAAGTATAACATAAGCCTGAAACATCATGTTGTGCCAGGAAGCAAGGAAGGAAGTTCTCTACGAAGCACTATCAAATAGATACAAAGAAATGATATCAAAAGGGTGCCTGCTGACCAACTTGGGATAGTATGAGCATCAAAATAATGAAATTAATAAAATATACTTCATTAAAGGAAGGACTCAGCAGAATACACATTATTATATAAGGTAAAAGTTCACAAGAATAAAACAATCCTAAAGCCAGGTTTGGTGGTGCACATCTGTAATCCCTGCACTCAGGAAGCTGAGGCAGAAGTATCACGAGGGTGAAGCAAGTATGGACTTCAAAGCTACTTGAAGGCTAACCTGAACCAAAAAAAAAAAAAAAGCTAGAAGATGATCTGTAAGGATATTTAAAAAGTTCATCCACAAAACAATGAAATTCAAATGAGAAGCCTTAATCTGGGCGTAGTGAAACATGCCTATAATCTCAGTACTCAGGATGCTGAGGCAGGAAGATCACTTTGAATCAATTTGAGCTACATAATCAGTTCAAGGCCAGCATGGACTATGTGACAAGACCCTGTCTTGAAAAAGGGGGTGGGGCACTTGTCATTAGCAACTTCAATTTCTATAAAAGAAAAGGTCACTTAAGTACTGAAGAATAATCAGTCTTTAACTCTGCCAAATCAGTAGGCAAGTACAGGGTTGCAACATTTGCATGTGAGCAAAGAAAAAGAAAATTAACTTCCACACAGGAAGATGCATGATATTATCCAGTAAAGTAAAAGCATGGAAAAAAACAGTAAGACACAAACCAAGAAACAGTGGCACAATCATGGTGAGTAAGATAAGAATTGCTAAAACAGCACTTGGGCAACAAATGTAAGAAACAATTCAGACTAAAAGGAAACAAAAAGCTTTGGGGCATATCTGAGGACAAAGAGACAGACTGAAATTTTGTACTATCCTCACAAACTTGAGGCAAGAAAGCCAGACAGGGGAGAAATATTAAAAATGTTGAAAATATAATCATATACTACTTGGCTGCACAGTGAAAAATATCTACATGGTCATAATAATGGAGAAACTATTTTAATAGTTATAATCGAATTACTGTGTAACAAAGCAAATGGCCAGGCATGATGGCACACGCCTGTAATCCCAGCACTCGGAAGGCTGAGGCAGGATGATCACTGCAAGTTCAAGACCAGCCTGGGCTTCAAAGAGAGCTCAAGGCCAGCCTGACTGCATAGCGAGACCCTGTGTCAAAAAGACCAAAAAAAAA